TGCCCTGCTAGGTGAATTAATTTCCTTTTGGGAGGAAATGTCGCTGTTGCGAGGAAGATTTACGTTAAATAAGGGGTTTTTATTTCAGGGGGGAAAATCTTATAAAGAATTCACCTCTGTTTTTCAATCGATGGGAAAGGGGAACAAAGGGGTTTTTCCCCAGGGGGGATGTCCCAAAGGGTTTTCCCGGCATTTCTTCGTCTACTGTGGGAGACTGCAAAAGCAAATTTAGACCTACATGCCTTTCAAAAAATAGGGAAACCTAGTCGAAGTTTAAACCTGTTCCCCTTCGCCGATTTTAGCACCAGGGGAACCCTTCAGCAAGCTGGGTAGGATGTCGTTTGGGCCCCCCCAAGGACCAGAATGGGAAAAAATTATTTACTAACAATAATTTGCTCCACTCCCCGGTACCTGGAAGCAGTCCCCCTGCATAAATAACTGCCAGGTCTTAAGGGTTTTGAGAAATTCTTTTTTCATGTTTGGTTTTTTTCAAGCAGCACAAACGACAAGGGCTAACTTTACCTAAAATCTTTTTGAAATGTTTTGAAGGGACTAAAAGTAAGGGCCCCAGGGTTTCCCGGTAACACTCTCCATCTCAAAGGGGGAAAAAGAAATTACATCAAACCCCAAAAAATGATGCAAGCCTATGGTAAGACAAACTAACAAATGGGGTGAGAGGATCCCTTCTTTGTATTTGCTGAGGGGAAGCACTCTGGGAAACTCTGAGCTATTTGGTTTGGGGAGGATGGTGATGCCCCCCCCCTCGGACTTTTTTTTTCCCTTTTTAGATACTTTTTCTCGTAAGGTGGATGGTACCAGTGAACGTGCTCACAACCAACCCCGGATATGAAGGGGGCCATAATGTGGACCAGATACCTGAGGCTGGAGAGGAAATGCTGAACTGGAGCCCAAATTTATGTGAAAATCTGTAGGCAAGTTGCTGTGACTGAACAGTTTTTGGGGGGAAATTCCCAGGGGTTTTGATAAAACTCACACCCCTGAGCAAAAAAGAAAAAGTATAATTCACAGTAACCGGTCAAAGGGTTTGAAGTTTTTTGTCAAAAATTCAGAGAGACCAATGTTTTTAATGGAATGTAAAGGGGTGCAAAAAATAATCGTATAAATACCAAAAGTTTTCAAGAAATAAAATGTGTGTAAAAAATTTTGGGGAAAACATGCTTGGGTAGAGAAAAATTTTGGAGAGTTTGGGTCAACCACCCTTTGGGAAATTTATAAAATTGGGTGTCAGTAAGGGGAAAAAATTTTTAAAATCAATGAAAAAATTGTTAAGGGAAACTGAGGGGCCAAATTTAACAATTTTTTTGTGGGGAAAAATCTGAAAAAAAAAATGGGGGGATGGAGGAAGAATTTAAATTCTTTCCCCAAAACCATTTGTTTTGCTTTGTGAGAGTCTGGGCTTCCCATGCTTTATGGTTCCCAAATTAATGGCACCCTGGCATAAGCACGACTACCACCAATACGTTTTAACAACTAAGGTTTTCAGGATTAGAAAGATTGATACTTTGCACAAGAGATGCAAACATTTTAAAAAACTAAAAATGGGGGAGGGAAAATGTGATTTTTCCCGGCCTGTGTTTCAGTACCATTTTTATGTGTGTAATGTAAATTTGCTCATTCTTGCTTAAAATTTGTGTGTGAGATGAACGTGATGGTATTTGTGAAACTTAAAGTATCCAACCGGGTGAAAGAATTTTCTTTGGTGTTTGTTGTTTTTAGCAAGAGGTTGCAAAATGTTTTCTATCAGTGGGCAAACCTTCTAAATTTAAATGTAAACATTTTACCACAGGAAAAAAAATTTTCATTTTGGGGGGGTGGCTATTCACATTTGTACATGTCCAGGATCCTTCATCCGTTTCCCGTGTAGGTGATAAAACAGACCTCAAAAAAAGGCTTTGTTCCTACGCCTTTTAATTTTTAAATCAAAAAATAAAGGCTCAGAGAATGTGGGGGCTGAGCTCTCTCTAGATGTTTTTATGAGAGCATGGTGCCTTTTACTAGTGTTTGTCTTGTGCTGCCTTTTGTTTTTGCAGTGTGGACTCCCCGGGGAGCCTGAGACTCTCTACCCGCCATCTTTTGTGAAGGGGTCGAGTCGAGCCAAAAGTTGGGGAGGGTCAGGGGTACGTAAATTGTTTAGGCAGTGGGTTTAAACCTTCGGGAAATGAGACGTTCAGGGAAAGGGTTTTGGGTGTTTGCTTGGGGTGCTCTATAACAAAACGGCCCACGATTTGCCTTTTGGTCCCCTTGGGCCCCTCCAGTTCTATGTCAGCCTCCTCTTTATAATTTGGAGGATCTGTGTGGATGGCCCGGGAAATGGGCTTTGGGGCCTGACCATGTTAAGGATCGTGAGGGTTATGGAAGTCTCACTGTTTGGTTTCGCCACCAAGTAAGACACCCTTACATGTTTTTTAAGTTTCCTGCCTGGTGTATGCCACTGCTCGGGGGTTTGGGTCACTCTCGTCTCCTGATCAGGAAGAGCCCCCCCGGTACCATTGCTTGCGGATTACCGCGCAGAGGGACAGCCTGTTGGTGCGGGCTTTCCAGTGGGCTTGTGTGCAAAATTTTGCATTGTAATGTGTATTGTTTAAAAGTCACTAAAAAAGTAAATTTACACACTTTAGTATATGGGTATGGTTAAAAAGCTTTTCTAAAAAAAAAAAAATTCTGCAATCTGTTGTAAAAACAGTAAAGTGAAAGTAGTTATGGTGCTAGGAAAAATGTGCATTCTAGTAGTCTTTTTTCCGCCTTCAGACTTAAGAATATACTTTTTACTAGCCGTATCCTGAGGACACGGGTAGCTTTTGTGAGACTTTTGTCTGGAGGGGGGGGTTAAGGGGCTATAGCCCCAAAATGTATTTATAAATAACTTTTCCGAAAACCAATTATTTGAATTATGGACTTTGCTCTAAATGTAGAAGGACTGTCAACCTTTTTGACTGAAGGCAGCTGGGGCAAACCTATTTTTCTCAATATAAAGGTTTTACTATAGACACATAAACACCATTAAATAATATTTATAAAGTTGTATTTCTTTTGGGGAAAAATAAAATTAAGGTTGGTAAATTGTGTAACTGGAGAAGTGTGCTTGGCAAAAGTCTTTTGTTTTGGGGGAGGAGCTAGCCAGCTCTCTCTTCCCTTTTCCCCTTTACGACTCCCCCCTTTTCTGTGGGTGACCTTCAAACCCGGCAGGATCTCGGGGCCTTCTTCTATCTTTTGGGCATTAGGGGCCCAGAGGTGAGTTTTTATAATTTAAATTGTGGCCACCATACCCGGTACTAAAATGGCAAAACACTGGTTTGCCAAGTTATGTCAAAGAGAAGGACAAAAGTTAATAAGGAAAACCATGTGGGAACAGCTATGCAGGTTGATTTGTTGTTTTTGAAATGTGGGCGTAATTGATATCTGTACAATCATTAGAAAACAGTTTTATTTTTATAGTATAGTTTTCTAACCTGGAAGAGGGCTGGGGAAAAGGGAACGAGACACTCAGGATGACAGCCCCGAGTAAGTATTACCCCTAACAAAAACCATTAAATAAAAAGCTACCCCCCACTGAACTGTAGGAAACCTTTCATCAATAATAAAGGGGCAACCAACTAACATACACTCCATATTATCACTGTTTTTGGTGCTTGTTTCCCGCAAAATAAGTCACTCTTGCTAACCATTCAAAAAAAGGGGCTAATGACTTTGAAATAAGAAAAAATAATTGCAAAGTACGAAAGTGGGGTGCGTGTGTCGGGCTGGCCAGGTTTTATATAAACCCCAAACAAACCTCTCTCTATAGTGACAAAAAGGGAAAATGGGAACAAGGGAAACGTTTTTTGCAAAAAGGGGCAACTGGATTTTCAAAACAGCGACCGCAAGTGTTAAAAAATGTTGAGAGACTGTTATTGGTGTGGATAAATGAAAAACTGATAGCAGGAGATGGCATCTCTCAAGCGATCATTTGTGAAAAGGCTAGGCAGTTGCATGACGATTGGTAAAGAAATTGCCTGCAACTAGTGCTGATGTGGAGTGAATTTAAGGCCAGCAAAGGTTGGTTGAAAGATTAAGAATCGTAGTGGCATACATAGTGTTGATTAGGCATGACCACCTGACACGGTCAACAACTGCTGCTCCCTGAGCATCTGGCACACTAAACACCTGCTGCTCCATGAGCAATTGACACTAAACACCTGCTGCTCCCTGAGCACCTGACACACTCAACACCTGCGCTTCCCTGAGCACCTAACACCACACACACTCAACACCTGCTCCCCTGAACACCTAACACCCTCACACACTCAACACCTGCTGCTCCCTGAGCACAGAACACCTCATACTCAACACCTGCTGGTCTCTGAGCACCTAACACACTCAGCACCTGCTCCTCCTGGAACAACCCTGACACTCAACACCTGCTGCTCTCTGAGCACCTACACACTCAACACCTGCTCATGAGGACCTGGCAAACTCAACACCTGCTGCTCCCTAGCACCTGACACATTCAACACCTGCTGGTTTCCCCGAGCACATAGCACACTCAACACCTGCTGCTATCTGAGCACCTGTCACTCAACACCTGTTGCTCCCTGAGCATCTGACATCAACATCTTCTGCTTCCTGGCATCTAACACCTCACCCACTCAACACCAACTACTCCCTGGGCACCTAATACCTCACCACAATCAACACCTGCTGCTCCCTGAGCACCTAACACACTCAACACCTGCTGCTCCCCTGAGCACCTAACACAATCAACACCTGGTGCTCCCTGAGCACCTGACACATTCAACACCTGCTGCTCTCTGAGCACTTGTCATATTCAACACCTGTGTTCCATGAGCACATGACACACTCAACACCTGCTGCTCCCTAAGCACCTAATACCTCAACACCTGACCATGTTTGATAATACCATATATATATCACCCCTCAAACTCTCTCTCTATCATCTAGCACATGAATGTCGTATTGTAATACACGCAGCTGTCACTCACCTATGCTAGAGGAGAAATAACACAAGTGGTGGCCAGAGAGAACTACTCGAGTGTTGTTGTTGTTGGGTTTTATAGGGCAACTGACAGCATGCGCCGTATTGAAGCCAGCCTTCCAGCGCCCGGAAAAGGAACCTAGACGAAGATTAAGAGAGAGATAAGATTTCGTTCGGATTTTTAACCCCGGAGGGTTAGCCACCCAGGATAACCCAAGAAAGTCAGTGCGTCATCGAGGACTGTCTAACTTATTTCCATTGGGGTCCTTAATCTTGTCCCCCAGGATGCGACCCACACCAGTCGACTAACACCCAGGTACCTATTTGCTGCTAGGTGAACAGGACAACAGGTGTAAGGAAACGTGTCGAAATGTTTCCACCCGCCGGGATTAATGATACTCAGCATGGATTCACAAGAGGCCGGTCTTGTCTAACTAATTTATTAACTTTCTTCAGTAAAGTTTTGAGGCTGTTGACCACGATAAAGAATTTGATATTGTTTACTTAGATTTTAGTAAGGCATTTGATAGAGTTCCGCACCAAAGACTGTTGAAGAAAGTAGCAGCTCATGGCATTGGGGGAAGGGTGCTCTCGTGGATCGAATCATGGCTCACAGACAGGAAGCAGAGAGTGTCCATAAATGGGGTTAAATCCGAGTGGGGATCAGTAACAAGTGGGGTTCCACAGGGATCAGTCTTGGGCCCGTTGTTGTTTATAATATATATCAATGATCTTGATGAAGGAATTACTAGTAATATGAGCAAATTCGCCGATGACACGAAGATAGGTAGGATAATTGATTCAAACGTAGATGTTAGGGAACTTCAGGAGATTTAGACAAACTCTACTCTTGGTCAGAAAAGTGGCAGATGCAGTTCAATGTAGATAAATGCAAGGTTCTTAAGCTCGGGAGTGTCCATAACCCTAGCACTTATAAGTTAAATAATGTAGAACTTAGCCATACAGATTGCGAAAAGGACTTGGGGGTTATGGTAAGCAGCAACCTTAAACCAAGACAGCAATGCCTAAGCGTACGTAATAAGGCAAATAGATTACTGGGATTTATATCAAGAAGTGTAAGCAACAGAAGTCCAGAGGTCATACTGCAGCTTTATACATCATTAGTAAGGCCTCACCTAGATTATGCAGCTCAATTCTGGTCTCCATATTACAGAATGGACATAAATTCGTTAGAAAACATTCAGCGTAGGATGACTAAATTAATACATAGCATTAGAAATCTTCCTTATGAAGAAAGATTGAAGACTCTAAAGTTACATTCACTTGTTAGACGAAGAATGAGGGGAGACCTGATCGAAGTGTACAAGTGGAAGATGGGTATTAATAAAGGGGATATTAACAAGGTCTTGAGGATATCTCTCCAAGAGAGAACCCGCAGTAATGGATTTAAATTAGATAAGTTTAGATTTAGAAAGGACATAGGAAAGTATTGGTTTGGAAATAGGGTAGTAGATGAGTGGAACAGTCTACCTAGTTGGGTTATTGAGGCTGGGACTTTGGGTAGTTTCAAATTTAGGTTGGATAAGTACATGAGTGGGAGGGGTTGGATTTGAGAGGGACTTGCACATCAGAGCTTGTTTCTTGGGTGGCACTGAAAATTGGGTTGGTCAAATGTTGTTAGTGGGATGAATTGTAAAGGGCCTGCCTAGTATGGGCCAACAGGCCTGCTGCAGTGTTCCTCCTTTCTTATGTTCTTATGAATCGAACCCGGGCCCTAGGTGTGTGAAGCGGGAGCTTTAGCCACCAGGCCACCGGGCCACGAAAGTGGAAGGATGCTGATTAATAACTGCGTATTATATGTCGTTAATGCACCCTGAAGCCAGCAATAATTCGCAGGTACAGGCCAAGATCTCCTGTCGGTCTGGAGGGTCAAACCCCTCCCCATTGAGGAGAGGTAGGGTTAAGGATTGCACCCTAAACGTGCGCAAGTCCGTGCAGAGTGGTAACAGGGCAACACAATAAGAAGTGTTCCACCGTCTCAGGCAGTGAAGGACACCATGGATAGTACGGAGAGTCCGTCAGCCGAAGGAGGTGCAGATAAGCTGCCAGTCGTGAGTGCCCAACCCGGAGGCGAGTCAGTGCAACATCCACTGATCGATTGGGATGAAGAGCCCAAGGACAGGGGCCATTGAAATATTGGACAGAGCTCAATGCGGATTTCCCTCCAAACAGTCCTTGTGAAATCACTGTGGCCCAGTGCAAGAGGGGTAAAGTTAAGAAATGCGTGTGCTGCTCGATCAGCCACTTCATTGCCCCAAATGCCAACATGGTCCAGAACCCAGTGAAGGGAGATGCTCCAACCCGGACTCAGCAAGAAACGCAGAAGAAACTGCGTCTGTCGGACGAGAACGCGTAAGGACCATGGACGGACAGAGCTCAAAAGTGCCAGGGAAGAATGGTCTATAAAAAAGACCTGGAAAACACTCTCTCAGATTCTAGGGACCCACAAACTGAGAAAAACCAAGAATATTGTCCTAACTAAACCTAATGAAACACCACTACATCCCACTGACACAGCTAACAAGATAAACGACTTCTTCTCAAACATAGGATCTAATCTCGCCAGTAAAATCCCACATACCAATGCCCATGCCGGGGACTACCTAGATGGAAATTTCCCTAATTCCTTCTATCTTGCACCAACTGAGCCCACGGAAGTCATTGAGATTATAAAGTCACTTAAAAATAACTCGGGGAATCTGTCTCATGTCCCACCATTACTGTACAAGCGAGCGGCCCATGTCCTTTCGCATGCTATTTTCATTACTTTTTAACAAGTCAATAGAGACTAGCACCTTCCCGAAACTACTCAAGATGGCAAGGGTTACACCAATACATAAAGGTGGTGACCCTACAGACTTAAACAACTATAGGCCAATATCTAACTTACCATTGCTATCCAAAATCTTTGAGAAACTCGTGCACAGGAGACTGTATTCATTTATAACGGCTCAAAACATACTCAACCCCTGCCAGTTTGGATTCAGGAAAAATAAAAGCACTAATGATGCAATCATAAAAATGCTAGATCTGCTTTACACAGCATTGGAAAATAAGGAATATCCACTAGGAATTTTTATTGACCTAAGAAAAGCTTTTGACACAGTAGACCACGACATCCTACTCCACAAACTTGATCACTACGGTATAAGAGGCCATGCGCTTTCTTATTTCAAATCTTACATTACTAATAGGTATCAGTACGTCACCATTAAAGACACAGCATCAGCAACATGGCCACTTGATACTGGAGTTCCGCAGGGAAGTGTCCTTGGTCCCCTGCTCTTCCTCATATACATCAATCACCTTCCAAACGTATCCCAACACCTGAAACCCATTCTCTTTGCTGACGACACGACTTATGTCATCTCTCACCCTAATCTTGCCACCCTCAACACCATTGTGAATGAGGAGCTGATTAAAATATCGACTTGGATGACAGCCAATAAACTTACGCTTAACACTGACAAAACTTACTATATTATGTTTGGTAGCAGAGCAGGAGATGCACAAATTAACATTAAGATTGACAACACTCTAATTACCAGAAATAATGGGGGAAAATTCCTAGGCTTATACCTTGACAACAACCTGAATTTCAGCACCCATATCCAGCATATAGCCAAAAAAGTATCCAAAACGGTTGGGATCCTCTCCAAGATACGATACTACGTGCCGCAAAATGCCCTTCTCACACTATACCCACTCACTTATTTATCCATACCTCACCTATGCTATTTGTGCTTGGGGATCAACTGCAGCAACACACCTAAAGCCAATAATAACCCAACAAAAAGCTGCAGTAAGAATAATCACTAAATCTGGCAACACCCCCCCCCCACTCTTCATAGATCTAAACTTACTCCCAGTTCAGTACATTCACACTTACTACTGTGCAATCTACATCTACAGGGCCTTAAACTCTAATATCAAATTTGACCTAAAACGCTTTCTTGATAGTTGTGACAGAACCCACAGGCATAACACCAGACACAAACAACTCTACGACATTCCCCGTGTCCCGACTAAACCTTTACAAAAAATTCAATGTATGTCAAAGGCCCTAAAATCTGGAATACCCTACCTGAGAACTCTAGAACTGCAGACACATTCATCACCTTAAAAACTACCATTAGAAAACATCTTATCTCCCTGATACACCCCGTCAACTAACTACACGAATACCACCTGGTGGTTCACACTTACACTCACTCACTCATTTGACCATAAACAGAAATATTAATCTCAGTCTTAAAATAATGAATCCTGTGATACTCCAATACTGAAACTATGTACTGTGCCAAAACAAAAGCATTCATATTGCTAAACTCACAAACTAGTATTTAGTCACTTAGCCATAATACCAACTTACCTCATAATTTGTAATATTTTACAATTAAGAATAAAACTAAGTATGCCCGAAATGCCTAGCCATGCTAAGCGTTCTAGTGGTACACTCTGTAATCACAATTTTACTACATGTAAACCAAACAATAACCGAATTTCTGTAAACTCAGCATTGTAATCCTTATAGAGAATAAATTTTGAATTTGAATTTGAATTTGAGTCTATAGTGCTTCCAACAAAATAAGCCTACTCTTGGATGTCAGTACTGGCCGGCTCCGGCTGGGTTATAAGTATCTTTGGCAGATTAAAGTTTCCATGAAGTTTATCACTGTTCTCACCTGTATTTATTCTTCCCATTAGTTTTATTATTCGCAAACAGCGACACAGGTCTCACGTATGTTATAGCAATAGTGATCTTAGCACTAAACTTTGTGGAACCTCACCTGTTACTCTCCCCCATTTAGGTGTCTCATCCTAGCTGCTACTCTGCCTTCTGTCATTCAGGTATGTGTGTGTGTACTCATCCAGTTCTCACCTAGTTACGATTGCAGGGATGGAGTCACAGCTCCTGGCCCCGCCTCTTCACTGGCCGCTACTCGGTTATTCTTCCCACTTCATGAGCTTTATCATACCTCTTGTTAAAGCTATGTATGGATCCTGCCTCCACTACATCACCTCCAAAACTATTCCACTTCCTGACAACTGTGTGACTGAAGAAATACTTCTTAACATTCCTGTGGTTCATATGAGTCTTCAACTTCC